AAAAAACGTATTAAAATTATCAAAANATTCAGGTAAAACCAAATCTGAAGGATTAAGTTCAAGATCAATCACATTTGGACATGCTCTAAAAGAAAAACACAGAATAATAAAATATATTTAATATGTTTATATTTCATATAAATAATTATTCTTCTATAGAATTTAATATTATCATCTATCTGATATAAAATGAAATAATTCATTAAAAAAAACGTATTAAAATTATCAAAAATAATTCATAGATTTAGAAATCAAAATAGATAAAATAAAAATGATATTAGATTAATTTCAAATATACTTACTGTAAAATAAATCGAATGTCTTTCCATTCACCTACATAAATACGTGGATCAAACTTAATTTGATTTACATTAAGTAAATGAACAATATGTGAAAGATAAGGAATATAGTCTGGTGAAACATAATCTTCCGTTAGTTGCATAGGATTCACTAAAAGAAAACAAAAAAAAACATAATGAATAAAAACTACAGAAAGAATAATCGAATTTGTTTATCTATGTATGATAAAAATTGAAAATATTCAGTTAAAATAAATTGAAAATAAGAAATTCATTTTCATCAACTAAACTATATAATTAAAAGAAATATATATTCTTCTTACCAATATCCAATGAAGTGTTCAAAAATGAAACATATGCTTTTGGATAATAACCAATGACGAGATATTTTATATGTTGAAATAATGGAACAGAATTAATGTTTGGTATTACCTCTCCCATTTCCAATTTTAAATATTTTGTGTCTGTAAAATAAAGATAATGATCATTTGTTGTTGCCTTTGTTGATCGTGTCTCAAATGTTTCATAATAAATCATTGGAATAGCGATATGAACGTTTCTTTTATATTTCTGATAACCAAATGTCCGTAACATAACAATCTCTTCTATAAGAAAAAACATTATATGTTAAAAAAAACTTTGTTTCAGAATAAATAGATTCTCATAGACGAACTGAGTCTTTATTTTCAAATAATTGGTTGTTTGTGTATTGATATTGATATTTTAGAAATATTCTATTTCTCGCCTTATCAAAGTTAGAGAACACTATTTTAAGGTAGATAAATACTTGTACAGTCTGAGACACGAGAATTTCACAATCAATCTGATAGTTGATTGATACATTACGTTTATGATAGATTTTGAATATTTTTTTCGTAAAGAAAAAGAATCATTTTCTCCAACAGGGTCAAATATATGACATTCACCAATCAAAATGTTTCCGTTTTTGCTGCTTTTACTGACTAGATGAACTTCTGAGCTCTTTCTTTCATATAAGATGCAACAGAGAACTGTGCACTATTCTACTAGAGTGTTAATCTAAATTTCTGCACATTGCCTGTAATAAGAGAATAGACTGAAATTCATCTACTGATTACATTTCTATTTTATGACAAGTTTTCTGTATTCTTTCTTTCTTATTTAAAAAAAAATTTTACTTACGAGTATTTCTATTCTCAGGTGTCCATCGATCAATAATCATGTGCCATTTTGGATATTTCTTAATAAAATATTGAAATGAATTTATTACTAGATCTAAATCTAATTTTGGATAGCTTTTCTCGAATGAGATATGAAAATCAAATTTCGATAATAATGGATTATACATTTCAAACATATGTTGCCATGTATAACCATTGACAAAATCATCAGCATATGATTGAGCTATTCTTCGTGTTTCATGAAGAAACTTAAAATGTATAAGATTAGGCATACAACGTAAGATATATGAAATTGAACGAATGTCACATATAGTAGAAATTGATAAATCAAAAGATATCAATTGTGATGATATAGGAAGATCATTTTCATTAATCAATGGTTCTTGAATTAATATACTAAAAAGAGAAAAGATTATATTTTCAATTTTATTGTATAAAGAATATTTCTCGAATATTTTCATTACAACTTACTTTATATCATTATTTTCAGATAGTATTTCATATTTTATTATGCCATGTAAGTATCGTATTCTATGGCAAATACGAAGAATTGGCAAAATTGAATAAATTGATACTTTATTTGATGAACCAGATATTAATAATTCAAGTGATATAAGATTCGAAGCAATTGAAGTATAAGTTGATATATTCAAATAATCATAATCATAATGAAGTTTAACTGAACAAAGAGAAGATGAGTTATTCATCAATATAGTTCGAGTTATTGAATATTTATCTTTTTCATTGATTTTTTTATTATCCGATTGAATAATAAAAAATGAAACAATTCTATTTAAACTTTGAATTTGTTTAATAGTATTTTCAAGTTCAGATGACATACTATCTATTATAAATATACATGAATGAAGATTAACAAAATGATGTCGATCACATAGTAGACTAATAATAGATGAACGATTACGAATTGTATCATAACATTTTAGTGATATAACTTGATGAGCATGAAAAATAAGATGAGAAGAAAGAAAATTAATTTCTCGATCATAATGACTGTTTAAGATTATAAGATGAAGTCGAATAGATTGTAGAATAGACAAAATTCGTTTATTCAATGAAGCAAAAGCAGTAAAAATATCAAATGCATGTAAATAATCAAATATTTCGAAGAAAATCTCATTTGATAAATCTTCGAAATGTGTATATGTATCCATTTATATAAATGACGAGAACAAAGATAGTTTTATAGTCGTTCGATGATTCAATTTCTTATGTATAAAGAATATATATGAAATGAAAGAACAATTGATAGATAGTATATTATTATATACTTTATCATATCCGTAATATGGAGAATGAAATAAAAGGAAAAATGAAATTGATTATCAATTTAGAGATTAATCATATTAATTTAATTCAATGTTAATTAAGAAATATAACTGATGTTTCTATTTAACAATGATAATTGTATTGATTGATTCATCTTGAATTAAGTCAATGCGATTGACCCTTAATGTTTATATGTTAAACAAAGACATTGAGAAAAGATATGTTAATGATATCAACTCGTCAAATTATAATTTTTTTAGTCATTATATAATATTAAAAAGAAGAAGAATGATAGAAAAAGAAACAAGTGATCTTCTTCATATACTGTAGAGTATATCTATTCAATTAGTATGTTTATTTCATTGACACACAAAAAATATTTATTTATAGTTCGATTCCTTTGAAAGAATAAAAGAAAAGACTAGTTCATTAGAATGTTTTAATAGCTTAAAACAAAAATTAAACATTTAGAAGTTTTAATGATCATTTATTTATTATTTTTTCACAGCCTATCAACGCCAGAATCATGCCAGTGAATATCGGAAATATGCCTGTTCAAATTCAAAAAATATTATGTTTATCCATCTCTTATTTGAAAAAAAAAGCAATGTATTTTCCTTTCGAGTAGAACAACTACTCGACTAATGTACATATTTATATAGAAAGTTTTCTGATAATGCCAATATTTAAAATTTTGTTGTGTCTATAATGAATATTTATTGAAATATTTGCCATACTATAATAAACAGGAAAATATTCACTCACGTCTTTTGCTAGAAGGAAGAAAAATCAGTAAATATTCTTGACTAATTTATTGCTAAATTTGAATTGAACAATTACTTATTTTTGCGTTAACGGTTATCTAGGAAATAATAGGCTAGAATTTTATTTGTATTACTTTTTTATGCATGATTACGATAAGATAATTCGACAATAAACTTTAAATACATATATATTAACATTAAAACTATTTTTAGACTTTTTTTTGTGTCTTTCAGACTTTATTTTCTGAAACAACTGAGCAGTATTATGCAAACTAATTAGAAAAATCTCAATATCCTGTTGAGAAATGATGATGCCTTATGAAGGTAAAGATTCTGCATATCTTTTGTAAAAGTTTCATAAAAAGTCTAATTGTATTTGTTTCAAGTACGAATGTAGTAGTTTTGATACTTTAGAATGTGCACATCCTTAATAAAGAAGAAAGAAAAGAAAAATAATTGTAATCCACATTGACGTACATAGAGACGACGTCATGATATAGGAGTGTGTGTATTCTGAAGAAACACCGCAATTTTCTCAAATATTTATAAAAAAAAAGACTACTTTGATCAATTTGAGTTTTCTACACTTATAACATGAAGAGTTAAATCAAATTGGTTCAGCCATGTTATTTAAATATTATTTAATTTATTTTATAACTGGAATTGCCTTGATCAATTTCTATGGTATATTTCGATGTTTGGAACGATTTTAAAGCAGTGAGTCCAACCGCAAACTTGCCAGTTTAGCTGAAAACTCATCGGTACAGAGGTGACTTTTAACGGACCGGACATTTTTATCTTTTTTTTTTCTTACCGGTTTCAACCGTGCAGTGTATTTGCTTTTTTTCTTAAAGTAATTATTGTAAATCTACTTCTTGAATGTTCATTCTGGTCAAATAGCTTTTGGTTAATTTAACCGTTCTAAATCAACAAGTGTTGGTGGATTTATTTTTTTATTGTTGTTGATGGTAGTGGAATTGATCGCTATCGAATATAAGAAAAATATGATCAGTCAAATCCTTTTTCGCATCAATGAAATTCTTTTGAATATGCAATACATGAGACAAATGTACAATTGTTCTTGTTAATATGATAAGAATTATACACTTCATACACGAAATGCATGTGGTTTATGAAAGGTAAAAATGTAATCCAGATATTAGAGATTTAAATGAGAATAGACAAAAACAAGAATATCCTTGACTAGGACATACATTTTCACTTGTTTTTTATTTAATGAAAAATTTGTTATTAAAAAAGAAAGTAAAAAAAAACTATTTAAATGATATTATTTATTCATTGGAAATTAGTGATTTATTCAAGGTGAAATGTCCTTGTAAAACTTGATGTAGTTTTATCTGTAATAAGGACAAAAAATGACATCAACTTATTTTCAAAATTATTCATTAAA